CTCCACAAACCTTCTAGCACTGATGATGTTACGTAGTTGGGTAATGAAATGTCTGCAAGAAAACCACCAAACTCAGAGACCACACTCCTCCTCCTCCTCTTCCTCCTCCTCTTCCTTTCTCTCCCCCTCCCCCTCTCCCCCCTCTTCTTGGTGGCAGCCCCTCAAATACTGGATCACTGCTATCCTGTCCCCCCTAGTCCTCCTTTTCTCCGGACTAAGCCATACCCAAATTCTGCAAGCGTTCTTTGTATAGCTTAGTTTCGTATCTTCCTTCCTTGCGCACAAAAGCAGAGCAGGGCCCCGTGTGTTAGCCCCTTCCTCTGAAAGGAGCAGAAGCCCCATCCTGATGTTCCCCCTCAGGGCAGATCAGGGTCTGCCTGGGGGCCTCTTCACCCCAAAAAAGTCAAGGCGAGGCAGAGGATGCCAAAGTGCCCGTTTGTTTTCATCTGCCCCGAGGCTTGCAAGGCGTGGCTGCCACAAAGGAGCTTCTGGCTAATGGCCTGCTCTTGCCCAGACTGGCTACCGGCTTCCCCCCCCCAGCACCCTGGCATTGCCCTCTTCAGGGTCTTCAGCAAACGGAGGGGGTCTCGGGATCGACCAAGAGAGAGCAGCCACTCAGAGTCAGCCTGGCAGGTGTCCAGATCCCCATCAGAGTCCAGCTGTCCGTCAGCCCCAGGAGAGGCTCTGCAAGTTGCACAGGGACAAGGGGGGCAGAGCCAGACACCCCCCCCCCGTTAATCCTGTTAACTGAATTGATGCAATGAGGGAGGTCATTGGGGCAGCCCAGCACCCTGACCCACAAACCGGCCTGTCCCTAAGCAGTGGCAGCTGCTGCCCCCTTACACACAGCGTGGGCAGCCAGTCCACAGTGCTGGGGGGGGCGAGGGAGGCCCACTGCAGTCCCCCTGCAAATGAATGAGCCCCCCCCCATGCATGCCGTGTCTGAGCAATAGAGCCATGGGGAAGCCTTGAGGCTCCTTCAAAAGGGCTGGGGTGGCCAGCAGAATGCCCCCCCCTTTGAAGGGGGCAGATGTGAGGCTGGCCCAGGAAAACCTCTGTTTTGTCTTATATACTTTAACAGTTACCTGTTGTATCTCCCTGGACACCTGGAACAGTAGGAGGGGGAGGGGGAGGAGGAAGAGGAGCAAGGGGAGGGGGAGGAGGAGAAGGAGGAAGAGGAGGGGGTGGAGGAGGGAAGGAAGAAAGGAAGGAGGAAGGAAAGAGAAAGAAAGAAAAAAAGACTTCTTCCCAACATTCTTAAACTTTTGCTATTTGCCTTGAAATTCTTTCAGCTCCCCTTAAGACGGGGGGGGGGGCAGCCAGGGGGTGTCCTGGCCCGAGCAAAGTACCCCATGCCAGACCCATAGCCAAGGCCAACACAAAGGCTGTGGGGAGTGGTGGAGAGAAGCCGATGGGGTGACACTTTTGGGGCACCCAGCTGACGACCCCCATTTCCTTCTTTAAAACCAAATTCCAAGCACGGGATACCTGGTTGACACACTTCTTTTTTAATTACAGTTTTATAATATATATATATATATGTATTAATCTCTTCTGTAAGAAAATGGTGCTTGCCCAAGGAGAAACGTCTCATGTCGGAGAGGAAGGAGTCAACTCAGTTCGTTCCTGAGAGAGGAAATACTATGTGTGAAACCCCAATTGTGATTTTAAATACTGTGCAGAAGGGAAGACTTTAAACCACAATCAGGCTTTTGGGGCAGGGGTCCCGGCTGAGGAGGGGGCTCAAACTCCCATACATAGGATAGTTTTAAATGTTTTTCAGGCTGTGGGACTCCTGATCAAGAGACAAATCACTCCGGAGGGGAGGCTAGCTGTGGCTTGAATAACAGAATAACGGTGTAGCAAAGCTGGAAGGGACCTTGGAGGTCTTCTAGTCCAACCCCCTGCTCAGGCAGGAGAACCTATGGTACCATTCCAGACAAATGGATTTCCCGTCTCTTCTTAAAAGCCTCCAGTGTTGGAGCACCCACAACTTCTGGAGGCAAGGAGTTCCACTGGTTAATGGTCACTGCCAGGAAGTTTGACCTCAGTTCTAGATTGCTTCTCTCCTCAATTAGTTTCCATCCGTTGCTTCTTGTCCTGTGTGCTTTGGAAAGCAGGTTGACCCCCTATTTGAGGAAACTCTTTTTTAAAAAATAACTTTTCCCCTTTGTTCCCTCATTTGGCTCTGCTAAGCGATGCGTTGTAGGGAAGATTGCGCGGGGTGTGTGTGCTTGTGCTGCAAATGCACAGCGACGTGCTTTAAAATGGTGCTTTTCAACCTTAGCCACTGGAAGAGGTGTGGACTGCAGCTCCCAGAATTCCCCAGCCAGCTGTGATGGCTGGGGAATTCTGGGAGTTGAAGTCCACAAGCAGGGGTCTTCCAACTTGGCCCTTGGATGACTT